TAAACATGCAAAATCCAAAGCATTCAAAACACCAACAGATGTTCACACAAACCATCAAAACCACACTGCGCTTTCAGGAAAACTCAAAAAATAACGAAAAGAACCTCAGGTGCAAACCAGAAACCAGACTGAAACTGTAAGCCACAGCAGAGCATCTGAAAGTGAAAACAGTTGGGTGAAAGTGCCCAGGTCTATTTTTAAGAGTCAAACCCAATCTGGAATTCAAATGTAGAACGTATCATTTTAAATTAATGCAACATGAGTCAATAACTTTTTTTAAGGTTATAAAATTCCAGATTTGGTTCTTGTTTAAAAAAAGAAACCCCAAACTACCTCCATAGATTCAAGTCAGGGCAACTTCACCCTGGGAAAAGAATAAACCCAACCAGTAAACCAACCCACACGGGCCACAGGCCAATGCACAACCAAATAACCAATAAGATGAATGAACCTGAGGGGGGCCAAGTTCACTGGATCCAGGTGAGTGCTGGTGAGGTAAAGTCGAGGAGACAATAAGGACAGGTTTGCTCCATTGCAACATAAAACCAATGTTGTAAACACTTCACACTAGTTCTTAGCTGCATAATGTCAATTTATTCTGATCTCTTTAATATTTGCAAAGCATGCTGGGTAAAGACAGGCCTTACAGACCTGGGAGGGCATGGCCTCTGCATCGCCAGGGCTTACGTCCACCACCGTAACCTTCAGTGTCGTAGTCATGGTGATGATAGTCAGGACAAAATGAAGGAGGCAAGGGCACGGAGAAAGGAAAGAGTGAAATGGATGATGGGAAAAGCTATTTTCTTCCACAGCAACCTTTAGTGTTAGGGAGTACTGCTGGTCATGTGACCTTAGCACCAAACCCATTGGAACAGTAACAGGAAAGGATGCTGAGGTGGTCAAGAACTGGAGACAGAAGGTGCTACTAACTGCTTACAGTGTGTGTATACTTCTATCATATGACTGAAAGGCAGCCTTATATTTACAGCTTTACGTTTATACTTAGCTGCATAATGAGTTCAAAGTCCAAAATAGTGAAACTGTTAAAGGTTTACAAGATGGCTACTACAGAAACACTAGAAGAGTTTTGTCTAAAATGACTTGATCAGTGCAGAGAGGTAGAGGACAGAGTGCTGAACGTCAGGGATCAGGGCAGGTGTAACACTGTTTAGTCTTAATGTTTATTACGTATTATACACAAACGCAATAAGCTGCAGGTGCTATAGGCATCTGGAGGCAACTGTATGTACAAGTCTAACATGTGATCAACTATTAAGTTACTCAGCATCACCCTTTCTATGCAAAACTACGCAACTGAAAATAACTTTTAAAAATAATCGATACTGCCTTAAAAGTGCACTTATGTCATTTCTATAATTACGTCACCACATCTGATTAGAGGGACATTAAGCAGTTTTATATTACACAGAGCAACCACAACAGAGCTCTACAATTAATAACCTCTAATCGCAGCTACTCTGACAATGATCTGAACATCACTAATCATTACCGTTGCCTTTTTTTAGTCTCTCTGCTTTCCTCTCAATTTCTGTACATTATTTTAAACTCTTAATAAAGTGACCTTCTCTCTATATTGGCAATGTACATATTTGTCTCTGTGCTATACATTTTTAATGTCTTCTCACTGTTCTAACTCTTAATTTAATCTTATTCTACTCTGTTTCTTCAAACAATACACCGGGGTTTGCAGGGTAAGGAATTAAGAGGTAGAAAAAAATATATATCAGCTAGAGGAAGTGCTGGTGGGGGAAATGAACAAAAGGAGGTGACAGACATCATATGCATTCAAAAAGAGGTCAAACACAAAGTGAGGGAGTGGAATATGGGCCAGGAGGTGTATACATGTTGCTTTTATGCAGCTGGATCACACATCTCTTGCATCCAGGTGGCCTCTATATTAGTGCGGTGCCTGATGCGAGGAGGCGTGTGTGTTGGTGTGAGAGGAGAAGCCTGCCTGTTGAAAACAGAGCTCAACTGATTCTCAGACTGATCATCGGGCCCGTCATCGAGAAACACTGGCAAAGCGGTTTTTCTTTGACTGGAGACAACTTTCTCCAAGTAGCACAGGGTCAGACCGAGGGGTGTGGCTAAAATCAGGGCTAAGACTACAGACTGGCTTGCTGTCAGCATCACTGCCAGGAGGAAGACAACTAACAGGCAAGGCAGAAACAGAGGGGAGGGATTCAGGAGGTAGCGATGTACAGATGCAATGAGGTTAGAGCAAGAGAAGGCAGGGAGAGAGCCGCAAGATGGAAAAGAAAAGGGGCGAGCAGGGAGAGAGGAGAGGGAAGCAATGGTGGAGAGTATTGATGGATGGAGAGAAGATATGTTGGGTAAACTCAATTGAGCTGGACGAGAACATAAAGCAGCAACTGTATTACTGATCTTTGGAGGAAGATGCTGGGTAAGAAATGCTACCAAATGAGTCCATCTAAATGTCAAAATGTTAAGGATTTGATCTAATTTGGACATAATCATATTGGAGACTCTATAATTCCAGGCAGTGATGGTGCAAATATTTAATTTTGGAACCCACTTAGACATCATCATGAACAAAGCAGGAGAAAAAAGGTGCAGTTTCTTCATTAATCTTGAAAATGCACCTGTGGCCAGACACATGTTTCCATTTCCTGAAACGGAGAGAAAGCCAAACACAAAAGAAACGTATTTAACCACACCCTTCAGAGAGAACCAGCTTCGCCAGTTTAGCAGTCCAGCTGTTGCTCTGGTTTGAGCCTGGCAGCTCTCCACAGATTTCAAAATCTCTGAGGAGCATGTTTGGGAGGATGATGGGTTTTGTGCGAACTGCTCAAGATCTGCTAACTGCTGATCAGTGAAGAGGGACAGGGTGTTTGAGGGGAGGGTCCACAGCGTGTGTGCCGAGTCCACGTCGTCGATACGATCTTCATCTTCGGAGATATCTGAAAGGACGTGGTCAAGCTCGGAGATGGAGTCGAGGGAGGGTGGGATGGATGAGAGTGAGGATGATGAGGAGAAGGAGAGGGGGAACATGAAGATTGACTGATGGAGAGGGAAGAATTAAAGGAAGACACAAGAGGAGAGGAAGAAAAAGCAGGAAATGAGGGAGGGCACAATATGACAAGAGAGCCAGAGAGTGGACAGATGGGTGAGATCAAACAACGGCGAATACACACACCCGCAAAGTGAAGGAGCAAGCCATGAAGAAATGAAAATTAAATGACAAATCAAAATAATCGAGTGCAAAAATTAAAATTATTCAGATTTCATAAAATGGCAGCAACAAGTGGCAACATGCGAGAGAGGTGTGAGAACGGCAAAATAAAGAAATAAAAATTTTAAAAAGGGAGTGTGTGAAAGAAAAAAAAGAGAGAGGGAAAGAGACAAAACATTAGTCAGTGAACAACACGCCACAATCGCTTACAAGTGAACATAGCAGGGTAGAGCATAGGTGCAGAAAACAGTAGGCACAGGTGCTGGCAGAAAAGGTATCAACAGGGTGTGTCACCACTGAAAGGGCTAAGACAGGTGCCAAGTCCAGAGTGCTGGGATGTGAGCGAGGGTAAGGAGGAGACGGGGGGGAGTGAGGAAAGGGAGCTGGAACAGGAGGCATGCACAGCAGCACACAGCAGTAATCTGTGTATACTCATATATTGTTCAGAGACGGCTCGGGTTAGTAGTGAGCACTATGAGCACCTCAGTAGAGGACAGCAGTTAGGCCAATAGAGCAAAATGCTGGACTACTTGAAAAGCTGCTCTGTTAAGACTTGTAGTTGATAAGAAAACTATTAAAAATATGAGATGAAAACATGAGGCTTTCTTCGTTTTGTTGGTTTATGTGCCTCTACCACTCCTGTATACATTCACACTTTGTGGAGGCAAATAAATAGCTGTCCTCTGGCCTTAGATAAGGTTGATATCGCAGTGCCTCAGTAGTCACTTATTCCTGATCACTAAATGGACAAAGAAAAATCTGTTTGAATTTGTAGCTGTAGATTCCGGTGAAAACCGCTGAAAAAGGCACAACTCTCGACTTTAATTGATCGAACCCACATATGAAATGAGTACCGGGGGACATGTAGAGTAGAAATAACAGACTTTGTTCACCTGCCACGGTTAAGAAGTCGTCGTCATCAGACACACATACAGAGTGGATGAGACTCGCCACAAATTATCAACAGTGATGCGTAAATGGTTATGTTTACACATGATTAACTTCTAGTGTCACAGTTTTGCAAACCCGGAAAAGAAAATACACATATTCATCGTTTCACAAAAACATAAAGCAAGCAAACATTCCTATCTTACAACAGTAACAAGAAACAGCAGAAACTGTCTCTGGATTTATAGCTCTCAGTACATACTGTATTTCTATTTGATATAACACAGACCGTTTCCATGGGACAACATAGACTCATTGGTATAAATTAAAAAAAAAAACAAAAAAAAATAGAACTGAGCTACACACATTCTATTTTTATCACGTATTACTGTTCTTGTACCTGCAAATGCTACATCTGATTTATGAACATACACACCTTTGAGTCAGAGTGGAGCTCCAGGTGAGGCTCGCGTCCGTTCTCAGCTGATTCCCTGCCAGCCTCAGTTATGCTGATCATTGGTGCTACGCAATCAGAAACAAAAGAAACGGCAATCACAGTTATGCAAGTTTTCAATAAGTAAATAACTATAACAAGTAAATAATTGCTAAAAAAAAAAAAAAAACTTTATTAAAAAGCTTTATTTTAAAAAAACAAAAAAAAAAACAAAATCAAAAACGTGTAGTAGAGTAAATGCACCAAAATAAACTCAAGTATAAAACATCAAGTTGCAGTAGAATAATGTACCCAGCAGGGGGCGATATCAGCTAACAGAATAACCACATGTTAAACAGGGGTGCACAGTTGCATGAATTGGAATCTGGGATCTGGGAATCTTGAACCCCTCCATAACAAAGCAGAACTAAACAAATGTGTAGGCAAAGAAGGTAAAGCCAAAACCACATCACAGTTCTATAGACATAGAGAACATGCTGGTTTTATTACAGTTCTACATGAGATTACTACAGTTATTTTTAAATCTGATGTTAATGACGACTTTTGTGCTGACAAAATGTGAAGAATCTGCGTTTTCCTCTTCACTCTGCTGTTCTGTTGTAAGTTTTCATACTTTTGGATCCACAGAACATTTATTCTTTTCAGCTCTTTCTTTCTCCCTCTCTGTCTCTCACTGTGTGACAGGAAACATATGCTCCAGCTATTTCCTGTATCTGGTCAGGCATCGAGCATTTACCATCAGTACAAACACAGACACGCACACGACCCTGCGCAATGCCTAAATCCATGACCCTACTTCCATCTGCCCCTCATTCCTTCCATCTGTCCATTCATTCGACGTAGTTCAGAATGAAGCTGAAATATCAAATAAGCCTCACTTTCAGTTGCATTCATGTGCGTTACCTCCATCCAAACTGCGGCTGATGCGTTTTGATGATGTGCGTTCAAAGCTGGGCGCCGGTCGGTCTATGAGGGAACTGGCCATGCGGGTTTGGGCCTGAGTTCGCCCGCTGTAACGAAACTTTGAGCCCAGAGTCAAAAAGCGGGCCTTGGTAGGAGGCTCTGGTGCATTTAACCTAGTGACAAAAAGAGGAGAGAGACATGACTTTTAAAGCTTATTCAGATAAATTTATTTTCGAATGAAACACTGATCATCACATTTATAAGTCTATGGGTAAGGAAAGCAAAATGCTTCCAGGCAACTCCTCCTTGAACAGGATATGAAAGAAATACTCGGGCATCTCTACAAACACAAACATACAAATGTGCAAACACGCAAAGCAAACACGGGCATCAGGCTTATCTATATGGGTGTTTCTGCTGTGTCTAAGGCAACAAAGACGCACTTTGAGATACGCTTTCTTTACACACTTCCTGGGAAGATGCACAGCTTTTTTTCAAGCAAAATAACACAAGTGACTCCACAGGCAATATGGATGCATCAGTCTACCTGAAGAAACTGTGATTCTCCACACAGACTTTCCACAGCCTTTTGGCAGCTCGGTGATTCTCGAGTTTGAATCCCACTGTACTCTCAAACTGCTCCGTCTATCAAGCACAATATCAGTGAGAAAAAAAATGTTTTCTTAACAGTAAAAAGGGCACATTAATAAAATAAATAGCTTAGGTAAACCTAATTCGTGTGTGCATACATACCTCTCCTGGTCTGATTTTAATGTAGAAGTTGTTCCTCTTGTATGAAATCTTGAGTATTTTGGGCCAAGCAAAGCGATTTATCCGAAGCCTGTCTTTATAGACTAAGAGTCCGTTGGCACACACACCAAGCATGATGTCCACACCCTCGGAATCCTGTGAGGATACAAATGTGCATAACATATATTAATTTGATTAATTATTTGTTGTAAACACCATCTATTTATCCAAGCCAGATCATACTGTGCATGGATTGATTTTTAAAGTAGACTGTTTAAGGTCACCATTACCCCACACACAAACAGTGACACTCATTACAACTGTAACGCATTTGGCTGGCAAACTAACACACTGACAAAGCTTTTAAGGCTCCCAGACCATCTGCTAATGGTATTGATTACAGTAGTGAAGTAACACAGGAAAAATCTGTTGTACTAATGGAGAATGCAATATGCGGATAATGGACAGTTTTATCAGGACACATGCACACAAACATCACATGACCTTGCCATGCTATTAGCTGCTCATCGATCTTTGACCTTGCGCTGCAGCTACATTCAAATATTTTGGCTGGTTACACTGACAGAGGGAATGTTAAAGCAAACTAGAAAAAGTTGCATTTCCTGCGAAAATGCAGTGTGAATGCCTTGTAGTGGAATCTGCTGAAAACAGCAGAAGTAAAACTATGTGCTGAAAGGAGGTGAAGAAACTGAAAATCATGCTGAGAATAGTTGAATTTTTTGCTGAAAAGAGGTGAAAAGCCATAAATTCTGCTGAAAGGGGTGAAGAAGCTAAAATTTGTGCTGAAAAGAGGTGAAAAAGTTGAACTGTCTGCTGAAAGGAAATGTTGCCAGGAGCTGGGTGAACCCGGGCCTCCTGGTCTCAAGGCTGCTACTCATCTCACTGAGTCAAACTGGTTGTCAGGTAACTGAAAAGAGGTGAAAAAGCTGAAAATTGTGAAGAAACTGAAATTTGTGCTGAAAACAGGTGAAAAAGCTGAACTTTCTGCTGAAAAGAGGTGAACTTGTAGAACTTTCTGCAAAAAGGAGATGAAAAAACTGAAAATTCCGCTGAAAAGAATAATTTGTAATGAAAAAAAAAAAATGTTGAACAAGGTGGAATCCAATCAAATGCATCTCTCTTTAGTATCCATCTTTTCCTTTTCACAACTAAAGTAATGAATTCCCTGAAATACTATTACTCAGTGTGTGTTACATTTGTGCTTTTAAAATGTTTTGACATCCAGTATTTGAAACAGTTCCTTTGTGGGCCCTGGGGATTCTGAGACTTGTGCAACAAATTAATGACACAGGACAGAAATAGATCAACTCCCTGAATTCCCACATCTTTGGTATGCCATAAAAAAATAAATAAAAAAATAAAAAAGGAAAAAAACATTTTCCGCATTTTAAAGGCTCTCTCTGCTTTTCTATCTTTCCCTTGGTTCTCTGTGTTGCAAAAAGTGGAGCATGCCCCTTTCAAGTATTTGTCCCCATCTCACTCTGGCCTTATTTCTGTTCTCCATTTATTTCCCCTTCTCAATCTCTCATCCTTCCTTTCTATCTATAAGACTCTCATTTTTCTGCCTATACTGCATAAAGACACAAACATACTGAGACAAACATGAAAACATGCACGCAGTACACTGATGACCTGCTATCCCAGTGAGAAACACTGGCTGTTCCCATGGTAATGGCTCTCCGAG